AGGGGTTGGCAGGGCTGGCGACAGAGGAGTGCGGGACTGCCTGGGTCCGCAGGGGGGTGCGGCAGTGGTTGGCTGGAGACAGGGCAGAGGGTGCAGCAAGGGTTGGCTATGGGCAGGGGGTGCAGGGCTGGCTGCAGTCAGGGCAGGGGGGGCGGGATTGGTGCGGGCAGGGGTGTGTGTGGGGCTGGCTGGCTTCGGGCAGGTCCGCAGGGGGGTGCGGCAGTGGTTGGCTGGAGACAGGGCAGAGGGTGCAGCAAGGGTTGGCTATGGGCAGGGGGTGCAGGGCTGGCTGCAGTCAGAGCAGGGGGGGCGGGACTGGTGCGGGCAGGGCAGGGGGTGCAGCAGAGGCAGCTGGAGCCCTGGCCCTTTAAATAGCCCCCAGAGCCCCGCAGCCCTACCCCAGGGCTCCAGCAGTGGGGCTCTGGTGGCAATTTAAAGGGCCTGGGGCTCCAGCCCCTTCTGGGAGTCCCAGGCCCTTTAAATTGCCCCCTGGGGAAGCTGGGCCACGCCGGTACGCTGTACCGGGGCTTGGGCGTGGGGCCCTCTTAGGCGCGGGGCCCGATTCAGGGAAATTGGTTGAATTGGCCTAAAGCCGGCCCTGCAGGTTGGGGTGCTCCCTTTGCCATGTCCATGAAAGCTGGAAGTGTGGTTGAGTGTGGTTATGGCTGTTGGAAGGGGACAGAAGTGATGGAAACCTTTGGAGACTTTTGGTCCTCATAATGTGAGGTACCCAGTAGTTTGATGAGCGCTGGAAGCAGGGCAAGGGAAAAAACAGGAGCTGCAGGATCAGCCCTGAGAATACAGACAGGTGGTCCAACAGCTGCTAAGTCTTCTGTTTTAAGTTCTACTTATCGTAATCATACATATTTTCTGTAGCGTTAAAGCTTTTCTGGGCTGTCTCTCTCATTATTTCATACTTCTAAAATATGTATATACTTTATTTCAGAAAGGAATGAAATTGAGTATATTCAATTCAACCTGCACTCTTCTGGGTTTAGATGGAAATTTAGCATGTCTAAGCAGTTATCCCAGGTTTCGCTCTCTTGTAGTGAGTGTGCACTGGGCGGTACAACCAGCCTTGAGTCACATGCTGCCCTCTGTCCCCATAAACAGACTTTTCTAATCCGGGGAGACCTACCTGCCTCCAGAGCTGGCGGAGGTGAGGCTGCCGCTAGCACTGACTAGTCGGAGCCAGAACTAGTAAAGGCAGGGCCTTGGACCGGCAACGTCCCGAGCGCTGAGCTCCGCCGGTCCCCAAAGCACTGAGAGGCCGAGAGCTGCCCGGCTGGGGGGACACAAGCAGCCCTAGCCGCGGTGCAGCCCCTGCTGGCCCATGACATTGAGTAGGTGGGGCTCTCGGAATAGCCCCCAGTGGCTCTGGCCGCGGCCCTACAAGGGGGCTCGGGGGTCAGGGCGGCAGCGGACAGCCCCCCGCGCCGCTGGAGGGCGGTAGCTGCGGCGCCGGGCCAGTCCCGGGGAGTTGGGCTGACGCGCGCAGAAGCGGCCGCTGCGGGCGGGCTGAGCCGACTCCTCCTCCGGCGGCGGCATGTGGAGGCCGGGGCCGGCGCGCGCTGCGGTCCGGGGCCTGCGCGAGGCCGCGGGGCTCCGGGGGGCGCTCGGGGGACCCGCCGCCTCCTGCCGCCAGCCCGTGAGTAGCGAGCCGCGCGGCGCCCGCGTGACGCGGCTGGGGCAGGCAGAGCGGTGCCCGGCCCGGCCCGCGTGTTGGGGGTAGGGAGCCGCTCCCCGCCCCGCCCCGCCCCCGGAGACTCGCCTCTGGCGCCCCTAAGGATTTGCCGGGCGAGTCTCTATGAGCTGTTTCAAATTCCCTCGTTCCCATTGTCGCCGAGCCCGAGACGGCCAAGCCCCGCTCCTCCCCCTCCCAGCAGGGTTGCGTTCATGCAGCAAAGCAGGACGGAGCTGGAGCTGTGGCGCTCCTAGCCCACGTGAATGCAAAGCGCTGCATAGGGGACTGTTGCACTCTTTTAGTAGTTGAGAGGTGGGGAGTGTCAGACTATGTGGCTTTAAATGCTTTGTCATTGTCTTGAAACTGGATCTCTGCCTGCTGCATGAGTGATCGGGAGTCAGGGCTGGAGGTAACAGCATGCAGAGACAGCAGCAGAAAAAAGTGTTAGCAGGAGGTCGAGGAGATGCTGTTGACGGTCCCCCCCCCCCCGCCCATTGCATCGTTGGGAGGGAGGCTTTTAAACTCTTTATCTGTGTCTTATTCCATGATCTATTATAGTTGAGGAGTTTTATGAAAAACATTCGTGTTGTCATGTCCTCGTGTTGGTATGAGACAAGAAACATCAGCAGCACCCAGCAGTCCTCTGAACACAAATTACTCCTTCAGTGACACTCCGAAAACAGAGTCATTGTGAGATGAATTTAATGTTCAGTCCATTTTCTAGTGGAGTGAAGTCCACAGACATCACCTCCAAAACTGAATACTTTGTCTATAGGGAGGACATTTCCCCGACAATTCAAACCAATTTTCAAACTAATTAACAACTTTCAGAGCGCTCCAGTTAACAGAACTATTCTAGCCCCTAGAACCTTGTCTGTGCTGTGGGTCCAAAAGGTTTTAACTGGTTTGAATTTTTTGCTAAATTTCCCCAGTGTAGACAAGGCCTGATAAGCCCATCTTCAGTAGAGACAACAGGGAGTGGATGCTCAGTATTCAGCATGCTTGGTGGTGGTCTCAGCTTGTCTGAAGACAAGCAGCATGGTGACTGTAATCCCCAACATGTGAAATTGTGAAGATTAGTTTGGGGAATTAGAATATTTCTGTTAGTGTGCTGCCACTTTAGGCAAGTTTCTAGCTTTCTTTTACATACCGTAGCTTATTTATAGGCTTTCTATTGTATTATCTGAGTACTTTAGAAACAATATATAGCTGCAACACCCCATTTTACAGGTATGGAAACCGTGATTAAGACCAACATTTTCAAAAGTGACAGTTAATTCGGGGTACTAACCTTGAGATGTTTAGGACTTAATTTTCAAGAGTGATGAACATCTACGGTTCTCATTGATTTCAGCTAGGGTTGTGGGTGCTCAGCACTGGCTGTAATCTGACTCCAGGTGCATGAACTCAGGCGCACCAAATTAGTGGACACTTTTGAAAGTGTTGGCCTAGGTGACTTGTCCCAGGTTGCTTACCGTAGGAAGTCTGTGACAAACAAAGGAATAGAACTCAGATCTCCTGTTTTCTAGTCTAGTGCCTTAAACACAACATCATTTTTCCTCTTACTAAATCATAGTAAAAGGCAAGTGTGTTCTAAACATGCATTTCTGCCTCAAGAATACTGATAGATGTATGGACTGGGATTTCTGTGATAGTTTTTGCTTCTTTGTTGGTCCTGTAAGATAACAAATGAACCTTTAACTAGGGAAAAAAAAGTGGCTTTGGGATTCTTTTTCTTAAATATGACAAAAATTGACATTTTGTACCATTACTTTTGTTAACATTTAATTTAACTTATTTTTAGGATTCTCATCTGCAACAATTAGACCACGTTCTAAAGGTTAAAAACAGAAGTGTTCAGTTTATTAATTTAAGAAATGCAGGAACTTTGAATGACAAAAGGTAAGTTTTATTCTGAATTATTTATATGAGAATTCTGACAGTGCATACAGATTCCAGAGAAACCATCTGTAGATGTGGCAGCCATGAAAATTAATATAGTGTGATTGTTGATATGAGCTAAGGGAAAAGGCTAGTCTTGTGGGTAAGGAAAGGACTTGGAATGATCACTTCTGAATTCTATTTCTAGGTTTGCCACAGATTTCCTGTGTGAACTTGGGAAATCACTTAACCTCTCATGCCATAGTTTTCCCATCTGTAAGGTAGAATAAATGATTCCCCACTGTACCTCAGATAAGTGGCATGAGGCACTCTTGAATGAAAGATGCTATAGAAATTCAAAGTATTAAGTAACTTTGCAGTATTTTATGGTAACTAGTTACTTTGTGTTGCCACATTTGTTTGATACTGAAAACATTTCTCTGAATTGCGTATTGTTATAAATATACATACACAATACCCAGATGCGCAAACTAGGTTAAAGCGCACCACTGAGATGGATTCAAAATTAATCTTTTTTCTGTGAAGCGACCCAGATTTCCAGGTCTGCAGCTGCCTCCATTTCTTTGTTGGTAAAATGGAGGTGTTGAGAGGTTTACCTAATATTTGTAACATGCTTTGAGATTCTTGGAAGAAAACTACTGTAGAAGTGCACAATTATTATTTTATTGGAATGAATGGGGACTTCCAAAAGAGGAAGTCACTTATGGTATGTAGACAGGATGTGTCTGAATGTTGACATCTTTACAACTTTGTTTATACACACAGTTGCTATTTCCTGTATAATATGTGTCTATAAACAACATACTGTATGTTTATAAATATAAATTATTTAGATTTACCTTAAAGATTAAGCAGTACTTGCATGGACAGAGTACTTCTGCAACAATGTTGTATTTTAAAATCTAGAGATCTACCTTCAGTAACCTTCTGGGCACAGAAGTAACTGGGGAAAGAAACATACTTAGTCTAATTAGCTATCTATAATCTCAGGTTTTAAAATTCTACCTCAATTTATAAGGTGCTTTGTGGCATACGGCAATTTGTGACAAATCACCTCCTCCAATCGCATGTGATTATCTCATGGTTAACATGTTCCCAAGATAATATTGTTCTTGTTTTGTATTTAATTTGTAGGAAAGAGTTTCATGCTAAAGTAATACATATTTTCTCCTAGTAATCTCAGATTTGTTTACGTGCCACTGCAGTTCTTTAGATGAGATTACTTACGAAAAACTTGCTGAAGAAACACTGGACTCATTAGCAGACTTCTTTGAGGATCTAGCAGACAAGCCTTTTACACCTGAAGATTATGATGTCTCCTTTGGGGTATATTTTACCGTTTCTATTCTTGCTGTAATTATTCTAGGGTTTTTCCTTGGGGGAAATATCTTCATTCAACTAATCTTTAGTGCAAAAGTTTAAGATTTAAGAAACAGTTCACACTGAATAAATAAGTGAAATATATCTGAAAATCAGGTTTTTAAATTTGATTTTACTCATTGAGGGAGTGGCAGCATTTTTGATGAAAAAATATATAGTACACTGTTTTAAGATTTAAAGAATTGTAATATTTAGTATTTAAATGATTACGTTCTTTTTATGAGGATTAAACCATTATTACATGAGGCTGGAAATTGGTTTCCAGTATCTTTTATACTGGTCTCTGATACTGGTGTTACACATGTCACTTTTGAATTATCTTGGTGAAAGTGACAGCTGTAGCTAAAAACTATTTTCAAATACCTATCAGTTTATTTACAGTTGGTGGAATCAATCAAATTGTATGCTGTTGTGCTCTGCTTGAGTTGAGGAGAGTAAAATCTAACCCAGGCCACTGGCTGCAACATAGCTTCTGCACTATTCCGGTCTTTGGACTGAAATAATAGCTGCTTCCTGTTTATATCCCCATGTGGAGGTTCCCAACTACTGGCTCCACCAGATTAGGATTTAGGTGCATATAAACGGGCAGCTGGAGCTTGTGTTCTGTGTATAGAGGCCTTTAGTCTTCAGATCTGTCCATATGTCAGCTTTTCTGAGCACTACATTCACTCTTTATCTCACAGAAGTACATACATAATGGGAAAATAACACCTTAGCCTCTTTTTGTATTGGCAAAACTGATAAGTAATTGATCTGGTCAAATATTCAGTTAATATTTTACCTGTAACTTATCCAGTAAATAATAGCAATGTATTATTCAGCTCCTAGTGTTTTGAATAGATATTGAAAAGCTGTGATTATTAGCCTTTCAATATCTATTCAATATAAAGAATATTTTGAAAACTAAATAGAAAAAATAACACCAAAAAGTTTGGTTTTGTGTTTTTTCTTTAGATTAAATAGTTTTGATATGCTTCCTCACTTCAATTGCCTTTCTCTCCAGTAACATTTCAATGTAGTGTTTTTGGCATGTACTTACTGAAAGGTTTAGAGGATTTTTATTTACATCAATCTTAATATGTACATTCTGACTGTTTGGATTCAAATTATGAAAATACTAGTAACATGACAAGCCACAGGGTGGCACACTTGGAAAAGAACTGGCAGAGTTCTAATATCTGTTGACCTTTTAAATTTCTCCATTCAGTTAATATGTGGTGTGCTGGAAAAAGTCTCCCTGAAGAGTAATCCTGTTAGCAGAAATTATTAATGTCCATAACAGCATGCAATAGTTTCATACTAGCTATGCACAAAAATGAAAAATTAGTTTTCAAGTGTTGTTTTATATTAAATTAACGTTTAAAAAAGGTTTTAAAATGTATTTTCCAAAGTTTCATGAATAGTACAGAA